AATTAGGCATAGTTCCGACAGTTGCAGCCGTATCCCTTACTAGTCTTGCTGCTCCCCGGCTTACTGCTACGTCCCCACTCAAGTCGCAGAATGTCAACACTATCGGTCCTCCCACTACTGGCCCACCTGCATGCCTTGCTCCTAGCCATGTTAGCATGGCAAATGGACATTTGAGTGCTCCATCACTAAGACTTGCTCCTGGACAACAATCTCAGCATCAACAACAGCCACTAACGGGGACTGCAACGACAATTGCTTTGGCACCTGTCCCAGTTAATGGGCAACAGCTGACCTCAATTCACGTGGCGGCAACGGAGGCTGATACAACTCCAACCACTTCAGCCGTAGCACAGCAACAACTACATTTGGCAGCTGGTTAGTGAAGCTTATCACATTCATCGACGCGGAACTGCACTTGATTTTCACTCTGCGATGAGCTTGTAGAATACATATTTCCCCATTATTAGTTCCTGAGTTATTTCCATGCAGAAGATATATCTTATTTTACTCTATTTTATTAAGTATATTATCTTCATTCTTAATTCTATCAGTAAGAATATTTTTTTATAGGATATGGTTTGTTTATACAGCTTGTTACAATATACATACATAAGATTTATAAACTTTTAAGGTGAAATCTTATTTAATATTACTCTGGGGTAGTGACCTTTTATTTGTGGGAATTTGAATAAGTGACCAGATACATTTGACTATCCATTTGATCTAATATATGAAGACCAAGATTGTGTGGCCCTTATTTTGGTCACGATCGTCTTTCGTTGTATTTGAGTAGTCTGATCTTTTTCTCGACTCTGTCGTATTTACAAAGCGACCTATGTGAACGCACCCTACCCGGACAATGTAAATAGGCCTCATCATATCTGTTTAAAAGCACACGCTCCTGGAACAGGTAAAAATAATCAAATCCCAAGTTGTGATAGTGAAGGAAGAGTTACTAGGATATAGATTGGGGAATCTACTATGGTAAGGAGGTATTAATACCAAGATGGTGTGACCATATGCTCAGTTAAAGTGATTAATCTTGTAATTGATGAATTCTAACTCAGTGCTAAGTAGGGTAAATCGAAATGAGGGCGCCAGCGAATGGTCTGGGGATGTATCAAGTCAATAGTTCGATACTGAACCTGCTATGCCAGAGGGTGTAGGATTAGTTACATATTACAAGGTATTCTTTTCTCTACAAGCAAGGTGTAAAGACGAGATCAAACTAAGAAAAGAATTATTTATTATAGTCATATGGTGGCAGCAAGTTGCTTCATCGCAAAGCCATTCTTAAATAGCCTAGGATGTTTTGCTTATCTGTTTTATGTATTGAGAACATATCAAGTATGTCAATTTTTAATTAA